CCCCTTAGCCCCCCACCCCTTCATCTCTATATCTTCAATTATGGGACCCCGAAACTTCAAGCGGCTGGCTCGCCCCTGCTTATGACAATTGATATTTTTATCTTGTGTAGGTATATGTCCCTCAATAATGTATATGTTACTTTTTTTCCTTTGCACTGCATTGTGAAGACCTGCCTACTTCCATTTAATCAATTTTTTTTAATTTTAAGCATTTTAAATAAGCATTTTTTTCTTGTATTTTTCCTCTCAAGAAAAAAAGTAAAATTGCTTTTTCGAAAATTAACATATGCAACTTTTGGACTTAAAGAAGAAAATACGCATTTACTAGATGTTACTGTATTTATAAATTTTCTTATCATTTTGACAAATAATAAATAGGAAAACATCCCTAAAAGCTGCATGTATGATTAACAAACGGTTGCTAAGAATGAACCTATCTTATCGACGTAAAATTTTTATTAGGAGGAAAAAAATGAAGAAGATAAAGGAGAAGACAAACCCTAAATCAAAAGTGGCTCTGGAAGCTAGACAATAAAGAGTTGTACAAAGTGTCATTCTTAAAAGAGATAATTGTAGCAAAAGCTTCGAACCTTTGAAATATTTGCAAATTTTCTCCAAACATTTGATTTGTTGCAGTTGTCATCCCTACCACTTCCAAATGTTGCATGTGAAACCCTTTTGGACATTTTTCATCCATAATTCTGTTAGTTGACCAAAAATTTAACTTTGACCACATTTTGAATATCTTAAAAAGGTGCAAAAGAGTAATTTTCCATTTATCACATTAAATAATTAAATAAAAAAAATAAGAAACACACACTTGTCCTCTTCTTCTCAACCCTCACCCACCCCCACCCCCACCCCCACCCCCACCTCCACCTCAAACTCAAATTCTTAATTTTTTATTTAATTGTTTAATGTGATAAATAAAAAATTACTTTTTTGCCCCTTTTAAAAAATTGAAAATGTGGTCAAAGTTAATTTTTTGGCCAACTAACCGGATTATGGATGGAAACTGTTCAAAATGGCTTCACCTGCAACATTTGAAAATGTTAGGGGTGACGATTGCAACAAATCAAATATTTGGGAAAAGTCTGCTAATATTTCAAAGGTTTGAGACTTTTGCTGCAATTATCCCTTATTAAAATTTTAAGCTGTATTTTTAAAAGTTTGAACAGGATATTAAATAGATATGTCCATATGCTTATGCCCTTCTAAAAGTTGGACATTATTGGCTAAAGTTGATTATTTTAAAGGTGCCATTTAGTTAACACGCCTTGTTGTATTCAAGATCATTCTTCGCTTTCTTGCTTAAGTGGCCAACAAGCACACATGACACAAATCCGTTCACCCATTAATTCACAAACTAATACCAATAATGGCTGCCAGAAGGGAGATTCCATGCACACGAACGTCTTACTGTGTTGTACTTCTTGCATTTAAAAAATTAGGGACCATGTGACAAAGATTTTAATATAAGTTTTAGCAATTTTTGATAAAAATAAAAAATAAAAAAATGAAACACATGATCGAAAAGTTGATTAAAATTGTGGGTTTTAGGAAATATGCGATTAAATTGAAATTTGGCTGGTAAAAAAGTTATAAAACTTTAGCAAACGAGCATTTAATCTATACAGCATTGCATTTGCTTGAGGTTGCCGTGGCAAGGGTTCGAATCTTGAAATATGGATTTGGTCATTGGGTAAGTGTAAGTGTACAAACAGCCTTCCACCATGTACCATTGGAGGCATAACCTGCGATTTACCTCATTCACCAAGGCCGAGAACAGGGCAGGTGAGGGCTATCAAGGATGCGGCTCATCCTTTTTTTTATATATACATTGCATTTGAATTTGTGCACGGAAAGAATGTGGGAACACTCAAAATAATTGCTTGAAAAAAGGGGAAAAAAAAAAGATACTTTCGGCGACTTCATAAACGGTGAAGAATTTTCCCTAAGAGCATAAGTTTTGTCAAGAGAATTCATTTGTTTATATATGTAGGATGACACGGACTTAAACTACAATCTTTTGCATATTATGATATCAGCACAATAAAAAATTTCTTGAAAATTCAAGAAAAAATACAAAACTATATTCATGATTTGATCCACGAGAAGAGATTATACATAAGGGTTTGGTTGACTCTTATTTATATTAAAGATATATTTAGAATAATGTTATCTATAGTGAAAACTATCGGTAATCGCTCTACGGGGCATACACATGACCGCTTGTTATTTGATACATTAATGTAGTAATTTTTTACTGCTTCATATATCAAATAACAAACTGTCATGTGTATGCCATGTAAAACGACTACCGAAAAATGTAAATGTCTGAAAGGAAAATTTTAGTTGTGGTGTCAATATTAGGGTTTGTAAGTGGGGTCTCAATGCAAAATGGGGTTAAGGGTCTACATGTTGGTGCCTATTTGTGACAAAAGAAAGTGATAATTAATACTAATCTATACTTAAATCATTTTCTTTCGTTTATTGCTAGACATGCTGTGACCTCCAACACTTAAACAAATCAACTAGCAAAAGAGAGAACTCTCTCTCTCCTCTCTCTCTCTCTGACACACAGACACACGCGTGTACGTTTTTCCTACTCAGGTGGTTCTATATTATTAGTGTCACTCTCTTTTGTTTCATTCTATATTGGAATATGTTCTTTTTTAGCTGTCTGTTCTAATTATTTAGTTTTAAGATAATTTCATCAAATAATAGTTCTAATTAATATTTGAAAAGAAAATTTAATTGTATCACGAAATTCCACAGTCGGTCTCCAATTAGGGAAACTTCTAATTTATTGATTCTGATACTCTTGTGCAAGTATGGTTCACTTAAAAATTTCAAAGCCCCCTTCTAAATCAAAGGGAAAAACTTTAGTTCATAAAATTAATCAAATAAAGGTCACAAGATCATTAAACACCATAGATTCATACTATTTTCATCATTAGAGACTCATTCTCGAACTATATTATAGTTATTCATTTTCTACCACATATTTAAAAAAAATATATATTTACTGCACATTCTATAGATTCTATAACTTTTTTTTTTTTTACTGCACATTCTTAAAAAAAAAAAAAAATTATTTTCACAGGAGTACTTGTTTAATTTACCTTGAGTATCAAAAAGCAAAGAAGCGCATAGGTTAAAATACTAAAATTTAGGATAAAGAGCTTGTCTTATTACTGAATAATTCATGAATCATTGTATGCATTGGTGTTTGTGTTCATTAAAGACATCGAAATGATAAACTCACTAGAAAAGTAAAGAGAAACCTAAAACCATATATGCTAATAATCTATATAAATGAGCAACGAGGGGGGGGGATTGATTTACCTCTTTTCTGCATTTGTGTTTATGGATAAGAATGACAAGATGGTGAATAAAAATAAAACGCACATGACTTGATCGAGTAGATGTTTGGCAACATATACAAATGCACATTAAGTTCTTATCAGTAGGTCAAATCGAGTAGAGGAAGTCTTTGTACCACATTTACCAAGAAAGAATGCTTTAACGATGAAAATTAAAAATAATACCTTTTTCGTCACAAGTACCATTCATTTTTAAAAAGTGACTTTTTTTTTTTAATAAAGGAACCCAAGTCTTAACTCTTAACACATAGTACACGAGTCAAATATGCATTTTTTGATTGATCCTTTTGTATTAGTTCTGTAACTTAAAATACTGAATTAATAAAAAAAAATTAGCCGAACCGAGCCGTAAAGCCATTTGGCTTGGCTGTAAACAAAACTAATCAAAGAAAAAAAATAAAAAATTTAGTCGAACTATAAAGCCGTTTGGCTCGATTCGGCTAACGGCTTATGAACAGTAAATGCAATCTGACTCTTTTATTTATGGTAGATATATATCGAATGTATAGTTAAAAGGTCGAAAAAAATTAGATTTACTTGTAAAATTATTTTATTGAATGTGATGTAAAAAATGAAGTTAAAAAATAAGAAAAGAGAGGCTATAGACTATAGAGCAGACTTTTACTGTTGAACATGTAGGTATGGAAAAACACAATCAGTCAAATCAACATTCTAACAAGAGGACACAATTCTAATATTGAATAAAGATAAGAATATTAAAAATAAAGTTTGAATTCCTCCTTTTAATATAATAAGATTATTTTTTAATATGAAATTTCAAGTATTAGTATGGTGGTAGGGCCCAAAAAATTCAAACGAATTATTTGATCCAATTAACACTCAAATAAGCACACTAACTCCGAGATTGGTAGGTTCAAACGAGCTATTTTGCGATGATGTTAACTATTAAATTTCATATCGAATAAATATAAGAATAATAAATAATATATAAAGACATGTATTACCTTTCTTAACAAGATTGATATTTTTGATTGATTCTTTTGTATTAGTCAAGTCTTATTCAAATGGCAATCAATGCTAATTCTGTCCTACGAATGTTCTTAATCTGTTTAGGATCAAGACAGAGAATAAAAATCATGTCTATACATGAAAAGACTCCAAGCCAAATGGCCATTACGTACCAGAGCCAAAACACACAGCTATGTGAAAAATGAGCTTCAAAATAATTTTGTCTTCTGGTAGAAATCCCTAGAAAGTAAGCCCTAACAATCTGACAACGGAAATCCATCTGGTAAAATTTCTGACAATGGAAACTCGTCTTGTAAAATTTCTGACAATGGAAAGATGAATAAAGTAAAATTCAATCATAGAGCAAACAGAAAGGGTTTGGTTCTTGTTAGCTTTTTTGTCCTTTAAGAATACTAAATGGAATCTTGATCAGAGAATAAAATTTAGGACAGACAATTTTAGGAAAAAAATAATGAAATATGTAGCCCAACAAGGAAACCTTACATAATTAAATATATATTAAAATATGATCCACCTGCCTCCCCCTCTTCTGTTTATATACACGGCGAATAATTAGTACCTGCACTAAACAATCAAGAACAGATTGTCTCTGAAAATTTAACAAGATCAGTAAATTAATCAAGAATGAAAGGCTCTGGTTCCCCTTGTGGTGCCTGCAAATTCTTGAGAAGAAAATGTGTGAGAGGTTGTGTTTTTGCCCCTTATTTCAGCCATGAACAAGGTGCTACTCATTTTGCAGCAATCCACAAGGTTTTCGGGGCCAGCAACGTGTCGAAACTGCTTTCTCACCTTCCGGTGAATGATCGGTGTGAGGCTTCTGTCACGATCTCGTATGAAGCTCAGGCTAGGGTTCAAGATCCGATTTATGGTTGTGTTTCGCATATTTTTGCCCTCCAACAGCAGGTTTTTTCCTCCACTCATGAACTTAAATTTTAATTCAACCCTAATTCTTATTTCTTTTAATCAAGAATCCTGTGCTTGTGTGGGGATTTAGCTTTGACCATATACCTCGTCTATTCATAGGAAAAACTAGAACAAAACAGGACAACATAGGGAGGATAAGAAAAGATTTCTCAAACCCTAGTTCTTGTGTTCTGAATATTAGTTTCTTTTAAATAAAAACAATTGTTTGTTTTTTGCAGGTTGTCGATCTTCAAGCCCAACTAGCTTCCCTCAAAGAACAAGCAGCTCAATCCATCCTAAATAGCTCCAAAAATGGTAACCCTAATGAAAAATTCTACTGTGGAACCAATTCCTTCTCTCGAGATGTTAGAAGTTGGTTCCAGTCCTCTCAAAATCAAGTACTGGTGCCTCAATTCGATGCAAACTCGAGCAGTACTAATATCAGAGAGATGGCATCGTCTTACGAAAACAGTACCATGAACGATCTGAACCCTGTTGGAAATTATGAAAATTCAGCCCTCCTTGAGGAAAATACCTCATTTGGTAGCATGGATTCACTTGAAATGCAATCGAATGCAACAGAATGTCCCTTTCAAGATGATGGATATGACCTTCAATCAGTAACCTTCAGATACATTCAGCGTTCTTGAGGAATTAGGGCTTCAGATTATTCAATCAATTTTTGTATTTGCATTTCTGCTGCTACTGGTGAGAGCTGGAAACCCTAGAAATGTTCTTGCTGTCAGAAGCCTGTTCTACACCCTGTGATTGATTTCTTAAATTATGTGTACTTGGAGATAACTAATCATAAGTAGAAAATATATATAGCATACTTTATATTATAAATCTGTTTTGGCACAAGTTCGCTTTCAGAAAAGACCTAGTAATTATGACCTAATTAAGATTTTAAACTTACTTTATTCTGATTTACTTCCCCTTTGTTAACCTAAGAAGTTGATTCTCTAGCATCATGTTACTTTTCAGAGGTCTACTCTTGATTGCAATGTGAAAACGACGCATATTGGAGAGTTAACATATATATAAAAGCAGAAAGCTCCATCCTTTGTGTTGAATATGGTATCAGTTATACATTTGTGTTTGCTGTTTATCAGTTGTAAATTTGTACATTCTTCACATTAAAGTTTGAAAAGTGTATTAGGCTTCTCATCAGATAGCAGTTAAACTTCCATTTTTAAGAATGAAGCAGAAATAACCAGCTGATAACTAAGAACATCTTCATTAGACTTTTTATTTTTAAAGGGCATATTCTATCACCTGGAGAGCTCTATAAATTTAGAGAGTTAAAATTTTGAAATACTCCAACAACCCTTGATGATATGTTTGCTACAAATTAGGATTAGACACGGTAGCTGACAAATATGTCACATACCTTTTTATTCAACCGAGAGCCGTCTAGGGACTGGATGACCGAATGGCGCTTGCTTATAAAGCTAGGTTTGTCAAAGAAAAACAAGGCACAACGGGCTCTTTGCTCCCAGTAAGTAGTGCTATTTGGGGGACGGACTCTACCAAGAGGTTCTTTCCCTCATGTAATATCACCTGCCCCTTTCATTTCCATGCCGGAGGAAATACAATTTTCTTGTATGTCTAATCTCTAATCCTATTTGGCCGAGCATATGAAACCTGTCATGAACGTTCGTGTTAAGTTTTGTAGAAGACTTGGCTTCACCTGGTGTTTGTTGTGCATTTATAAAAAATATGTTTTTATGTTGCTTTGAGGATTAAATTTATGGTACAAACAACGTAACAATAGTTTTTGTATGTACCGATGCATGGTGGCCTATTCAACTAACATTAGTAGGTTCTAGTTAATATCGTTCAATTGTGTTATCATCTGATAGACTAATTATAATCAAAAGTGAATGGCTACTTAGTATTTTGCCCTTGTTTGAAATTCAGGGGCGGATCGAGACCATTTTTCTTGTGGGTTGAAAATGAGAATTCACAAATGTTTAGATAAAAAAACTAAAAGAGGAAAACTCACAAAAAAATAAAATTTGTGGGGTCATTTGACCCCACATGACCCCATGTGGGTCCGCCAGTGGTTTGAATCACGTCCTCCGTACTCATTTTCAATTACATATCCTCTAAAAAAATATTTCACTTTTAACTACTTATTTGTCAAGAAATCACTTTCACACAAACAAACACTTATTTTTAAGTTACTTAATATTTAGAGAATTTTTGGGCTAGTTATCCCAATTGACACACTTATTATAAGAGACTGTTACATTTAAGGTAGTCAACGTTTTCCTTCCATGCAAGAAAAGCTTTGAAAATGTCAAGGTAACCATGTCGAACTCCCACATAATATTGGTCTAAGTCAAATAATTAAGTCGTCATTTATGGTCTTTGTTACTACTTTTCTGTTGGAATTCTTTTCTTAACCCTTTCTACTGACTATGATGTTCGTCTAGCTTTGCTTCACTATTAAATGACTTTGAAGAATGTAGTGTTTGGTGTGACGAGCGAATATCTTAGCTTGAATCATATGGTGTGAACCTCGTCCTTTAGCGATTTTTTTGACTTAATGTCAAGCTCTTTAACTCGAGTTTGCCCTCCATATTTCAACATATCGATCTCTTGTTATTCACTTCAGGTCGAAACGCCGCGTCAAAATCGATAAATATAGAAATCAAGTCATTTTTTTTCTTCCAAGCCCATCTCATGTTTATGGTACAGAACTGTCTACCGGGCCAGCCAACCCCAAATGTAATTGGATAAAAATTTCTGTCTGGGCTTTTAATTTGGCATGACCCGGCCCACTTCAACTAAGTTTAGGGGGCCCTTCAACTAATAGTATGTTTAAATAAAAATTAATTACAGGATTAATTTGGACAAGAGTGGAGTTTGCTTAATGAGGTTGATAAGGTTTGATAATCAAGTGGCTAGGTGCACCTAACCGAGGTACAAGCTTTTATAAATTATTCGAAAATTTGTCCTTACCAATTGAGTCCATTAGATATTCTAATCTCGAGTGAGTGTTCACTTCCATAGCAATGGTAGGTTGGATTGGATGTAACTGAGCACGACAACTAATACAAGGCCAACATATCAAGCATATTAAACATGGTTGAAACCCGTGAATGATTTTAGTGTATACAATGGAGGTTGACGATCTCTTACATGCATGTGGGTCCGTGTGATTAAAAAATTTCAAAAAAAAAAAGTGGACCCCTCCCATTATGAGTGTTGATAATCCATCGTTGTCATCCTCCATTGTACATATAGCACGGTTGAAATTAAAAATTAAGGCCCTAAAAGTGAGAAGCTTAACACATGAAAATTGTTGAAAATTTATTAAAGTTGTTGAACTATTTTATTAACTCGGGTGTGACACGTGCAGAATATTTTAGAATATTTTTAACTAAAATGTGCATTTTCAGATTTTAGTATAATTTATGCACTACATACACATTAATTGGAGGTTCAAACCTCAATAATGCAATGCTTTATCTTTGGTACAAAATAAGCTAAAATATAATTTCTGTAACATATTTTGCTCGTTTGGTTTGGATTAAAATCCAATTAAAATTTCAAGTCAAAATCAACAATTAATTTTAACCACACATTTCATGGGACCCACAACTTTTCAATCACACATTTCATCAACTTTTATCAAAATCTACTAAGAATCTGATTTTAATCTTTACCAAACATGAGCTTAATTTAGTATTTTTAATTTTAACCACACATTTTGTGAAACCCACAACTTTTCAACCACACATTTCATCAATTTTTATGAAAATCTATTAAAAATCTGATTTAATCTCTACCAAACATGGGCTTTGTACACTCAGAACTGGAACGATAAGTGTAAACAAACACAAATAATATTTCAAGGTTTGATTTCCAGTTACAAACTTCAAGTACGAGCACCAAGATACAGTTTCAAGCTGTAATGATTCCTCACGAAAATGTAAAGTCAATGATCAAATTTAATTAATCCCATAAAGATGAGCAAAAGGAGGAATTCATTCTATTAATAGCTGTTTTAAACATCTACTTATGACTGATAAAACAAGCCATTTGAATGATAAGTATTCCTTTCATCGCTATAAAATGTCACTCATGAATTCGTAGTTAATGGCTGCTGAAAAATTGTTCGCCTGGCAGTGCGCAAAGTTCTGACACGGTTATCTAAAATTGACAAGAGACAATGGCTGCTTATCGGCAATTATGATAGATATCTTAGGCTGTGATCTTCCAAGCAACAGATGCAAAATTGATTTATTTTTATTTTTTAAATAAAGAAGACGTATTATGACTCTTGCTGCAATTGAGGCACCTGCATGAAGAGGTACTGCACAATAGCATAGCTTCAGCTACCATTCCGGAAATATATACTAACTATTTACATTTAAGATTTTCGCTGCTTCTAGATTTACCTCAAATGATTTTCCTGATCTCTCGAAATCAAGCATACTGAGAGCAACTTCACAGCTCTGTGAGACTATAGGTTCAGGATCCTTAGCAAATTCCTCAAGCAGTGTGATACATTGATCGTCTGTAAAATGCAGTAGATGCATGAAACAAGCATAATGGGTAAATAAAAAGGAAAAATATGTATTGTAAATATAATATGTACAGTAAAAATCAGTTTTTGTTTTGTATTGATTTACATCCATATGAATTGGAAACAGAATGGTAACAGGTAATCTGGTTATACAAATTCTAGATACATGTAACAATATAAGAGTGTTGGAACATATTATTCAAGTATTAATTGCACAGGTAAAGAATAACAATGAAGAAAACAGAATGATAGCTTATATACTGGAAGAATTTGCATAAAAAATGTACTGTAGTATTTGGGGGGAAAACTAGTGTAAAAATAATGTATTACATATTTATAGCAAGACCCAAAAACTCCAGCAAACCATAAAGATCATCTAAGTTGGGTCTTCAATGCAGTTTCTATGCATCTGCTCACTCATCTCTTTCAAGACACTGTATATTTTATGTCCACTATGAATAATTCCCCTTCTTAGAAGGAAATGAAATATGCAAACCACAGAATTTGTCGAGAGATAGTTCATCAATTATTTTAAGTTGTTTAACATGTTAGAAATTAGCAAAGAATCAAAACTTTTGACAGCTCTTTAATACTTTCATCTAAAATGGTATAAATCCCATAGTCCCATTAAATTTCTTTATCAATTTGATGAAAGTTTTTCATTGTTCGTAATTAATTCAATCAAGAACATAAAACCTTATAAAATTTCTACCTCATTTATAATATAGAACTGTGGCATATTACACTCCCCCCAAAATACAAGTTATTTCTGCCCCTGGCCCCGTCATTATACTCCTAGAAACAAATATTTTTCATGCAATTGCCATTATCAACTTACACTGATGAATATCGTGTGGTCCTTAAACAGCACCAAGCTCAACCAACCCAAGCAGGAAAAATACAGCAAAAAATGTGTTTAAAGTTCAATTAATGTCATATGCTGCTTCTGCATTAACAGTTGCTCATCCATTTTTCTTCAGATGTATAATTTAAGCAGTTCTTATTCTTCCTTATCATAATCAAACTAATTTTAAGTCAACTAAAACTCTGTTTGACAAATTTATAAATGGTTTACAAAGAGTAATAGTAAGAGGGTCCCATGAAATGTGTGTATAATAATTACTAGTTAAGAATGTGTGATTGAAATTAATGCTTGACTTTGACTAAATTTATAAACCATTTATAAATTTGTGTCGAAACAGAGGCTAAGGGTAATAATAGCCAAAAGAGTAAGTCAAGAACATGAGCAGAGGCCAAACCTGCAATTGAACCAAGAGCTTCAGCAGCTTCATGTCTAACCATCGGATGTTCACTACCATCCCTAAGGATTTGGGATAGAGCATCTGAAGCCTTTTTGTTCTGCAACTGGCCCAAGACATAGGCAACCTAGGGACAAAGTCAATAAAAAATTATAGATTAATATAACAGAGTCAGCTAATTGAGTAATAACCAGAGTATGCTGACCAAACTTAAAAACTTACTTTGGCAGGATCATCTCTAAAACTATATTACTACTTTGTCTGTGTGTTTTTCTGCTTTGGTGGAGCGTCAGGTCCTTATTTTATATTAGATAGAGGTAACCATTTCAACAAAATCTGCTCACTAATTATCCTTTCTTTCCATTTTTATATCGTTTGGAGGTATACAAAGTTCATTTATATATTGGAAGTATTATAAAATCAAATAACTTCACCCAGTTTACTCTAGTTTGAAAATAAATTAGCACCCATAACCATGCAAAATTTGAGGAGATATTGATAAATATAAAACACCTCATTTTCTATATTTCATTGAGACAAGGCTTACAATAAAAATAGAAAATAAATAAATAAAGCCATACATCCCCAAAAATAAGCAGGAAAATGACAACAGACCTCATGCCTTAGAAGAGCACTTTTTGCACCTAGGGATTCAATAATAGCAGATATGGCTTCCTCTCCTCCAAGGTTTCGAAGTGCAAAAAGTGCGGCATACCTCTCATACATGCTATTGCATTCATTCAATAAAACTTCCCTGAAAAAAGAAATATAACGATTAAGCAATTAAGAAAACCCAATTGGAAGACAGGCATGTTATCAATCTATATTAAGAATTCTGAACCTTAATTCCTGCACAGAAGAAAAAGAAGCAGGTGCAGCAGGGTCGACTGACAAGAAAGGTGATGATTTTGTGGGTGAGGTGTTCTTCAGCTCCTCAATTCGACTCAAAGCTAGTTCACATGTTTCCCGAACTTCTTGAGCTGGATCCATGGCCAAACTATTCTTCAAAAGACCAATATTACTTTCTAAACCAATTGCACCAAGAGCTTCTGCAGCCTATGAATATGCGGGTGCATACAAAGAACCAAAATCCTCTTAAGAAAACAACATCCCGTGATAGTGAAATGTACTTTATCCAAATTCGAAAGCATTATACCTCATGGCGAACAATGGGATGCAAGGAAAGATCATTTAGAACAGCTTCCAAAGCAGGAATAGAATCAGCATCTTGCATCTGACCCAATGCAAATGCAGCCTCATGTGCCAGCAGGTTCGAAGCATCCCTTGTTGCTGAAGTAGTAAAAGTATCATACATAATTAGGATACATATTTATCACAAAAAATTGTACTGAAAGTAGCAATGAAGAACCCCACTGCACAACAAGATAAAGAGCCTCTGAAATCAACACTTAAAAGTATAAGAACAATACAACCTCCTACGGCCTGATTCAAAAGCTCTGAAATCGATTCTAATGGCTTAAATGAGCAGAACAACTATGATTTTTTATTTTTTTATTTTTTGTACAAATTATCGAACTCTTGCACTAAGATAGATCTAGTTGTTTTATTGAAAGATGATTTTTTTTTTTATACTATTGAACTCTTGCACTATGATAAATCTAGTTGTTTTATTGAAAGAACCAGTTTGGAGGGACAAATAAAAAGTATAAAAATCCATAGTAATTAATTTTTTCTAGAAAAAAAGTAAGAAAAGAAAATGAGTGCCTCTGCCAATTTTCACCAATGCCTTTGCTGTTTCAATTTCATCATAAGCATCTAACACAACCAGAGATATATCCATCACTTTTAGGTAGTATCCGACACAACTTCTAGAGCGGAAGTCCATTCATGGATGGACCTTCTTATATGGGAAGTTACCAGAAGTGTCATGTCATACTAGATATTGATTAACCTTCTCTCATAGCCCCAAAAAGAAAAAAGAATGGGGAAGGGGAAGGGGAAGGGGAAGGGGAGAGGGAGAGGGAGAGGTGATCGTCTACAATCTCATGCCAGATTTAAGAGTATCAATTCCAAATAAAATAGGATAAAAACAGTAAAGACTTCACCTCGTGTCAAAATAGAAATTTTAAGCATAATGCAATGACTTCTGCAAATCAACGTGAATAAAACTAACTAAAAATTCACTACTACAGCCATATGCAAAACTTACCTAGCAAGAATTTAAGAAAAAAAATAATAAAAAGAAAGCACAAAGTGCACAAAAAATTGAGTTTTTCCATGCATCTATCTTCCTGAAGTAAGTCAAATTATTAACTTATTTCAAAGTACAATACACGTTTATCCCAAATTAACAAAACAGATATATACATAACAAATGTCGATGTAAACACAATTAATCAATAAACACGCGCATAAATACGGTACCTTGAACGAGGGCATTGCGAGGGGCAGGCCCACGGAGGTTGCGAAGAGAGAAGAGGACTCTGAATCGCTCCGAAATCGGTTGGTTTTGATCCAACAAACGGTCGCAAAGAAATTTCTCGGTGTCGGCCGAGACTTGGAACGAACATCCGGAATCAGCACAATCCATTAGGAGCAGAAATGGAACCGGAACTGGAATTCAATTGACAAACTTAAAACCCTAGCTCCCTCCAATTTCCAGAAGGTCAGGGCTTATTATGCGCATTTTGGTAGAAGATGGTTGACGTAATTTTGACGCGAAATTTTCTCCACTCTCCGACGAAAAGCGCGTGTTGTTCTTTTCTTAAGTTGTTTAAGACTTGAGGCCACCCAATTTGAAGCAAAGTTTCATTTTAGACACTCAACTTTCGTTTATATAAACTCACCACAAAATATTCAACTTTAGTTTGGTATATGATCATCAACACCGCTTTGATAACAAAATTTAGTGTTTGTATATAAAATTTTGCTAAATTTTTATCAACTTTTTAACTGATCAAACTTCAATTTGAATCACAAATTAATGATAATCTATAAAAAAAAATTGCCAAACAAGCCCTTAGTTTTCTTCCTTAGATGACGTATGGATTTCTTATGTGAACAGTAAATATGTTAGTTGTCTCATGTAGCAATACTCGTATTTCAACTTATTAATATACTTGCATAAGTATGTTAAAAACACATTTCGAGTGCAACATTTTTATTTTAGAAGTGCAAGTTTATACTGTTTTCAAACATTAGTGCTGCGTAGGGTTAGAGAGTGGAGTGTTTGAAAAAAAAAAAATTATTTGGGTTTTATTCATTTCATCCTCGTGACAATACTCTATTTGGGTTATATACTTTGCACGATAGCAAAAGGTTGTGGCAAGATTAAAATGTCAGGGCATGGTTTTGCACTTAGGCGTAAAAGTGAAGGACTAAATATTCAAACTTTCCTACTATAAATATACAGACTTCGTCCTTGTAGAGTCTCTAGAGTGTTCAATTGAGTTACAGACTTACAGTTCTGCCGCTTCCCTCTGTCGCCACGTGTAACGATCTCTCTTAATTTCTTCAGATCTGAATTCTGAAATTTTTTCTATTAGAGTTACAGCAATTCCGTTTCTCTCTCTCGCAATAATCGCAGTCTAATTTTAATTCCTTGGTTGATTGTAAAACCCTAGAATTTGAGAATTTTGATTTAAATTCGATCAGTTTTGTAATTGATTAACGCGGATTCTAATTGTTTTTTTTTATTTGCTATGTGCAGAATTACGACAAGTGAGTCACCGCAAGATTCTCTATCATCCCTGAACATTCTTCAGATATCCCAATCGTCATAGCCATGAATTCTAGAAGGTCTTTACTCCTTTTGTTGGTTCTGCGCCAATTTAGACCCTAACCTTTTAATTAATTTATTGTAAAAAATTAGAAGTTTCAATTATTTATGAATTTTGGTGAAATATTGGCTTTATGTTGATAATTGTATTCATTGTACTTGCTTGCTTGCCCTATGAATTCTACTTTTCTGTTTCTTGTGAAGCTCAATGCTGGAGAATTGAGCTAGTGAATGAAATCTAGACTTGATAAGCTATCTGCTTTTGGTTGCAGATTAAAAATCTTACCCTTATCTGAGCTCGTCTTTAGATACATACATCCCATCATAGAGAGAACTCTATAGTGACTCTTTTACCTACAGCCCACCAAAGTAACTGGAAAAAGGACTACCATAGAAGACCGAATTTTTCACTTACTTCAAATTGGGAAGATATTATCAATATGTTCGATTAGATTTTGAAAATCTAAAATTGAACCTTATCATCGTCATCTTGATTTTAAGAGTCATTTTTCTTGATTTTAACAAGAAGAGTATATAAATTATCATAAATCTGAGATTCTCGCTTTTACCTGACAATTATGTGAGTTGGCATTTTAAGTGCTAGAAACTTATGGTAGTTACTTAACATGCAAATGCCCCAGAGACTTGAACTTCATTAACTGTCATTTCTTGACTTAGAGGGTCACAGCACATTAGATTGTTTACTGGTTATCTATGAAAATTAATAGATATTTTTTTTTAAAATCTGAATTCACTTTTATCCTATCAAATCCGTATATGCATTACTGTCTCTTGGTCTCTACCTGTTGTACCACTCACAATGATCTTGAATTCAGGGACCGCAATGCTAGAGTTGCTCTGTTTGACGGTATAGAGGAAGGTGGTATAAGGGCTTCATCTTCTTATTCCTCTCATGAAATTGATGAGCAAGAGAATGATAGGGCAGTTGATGGATTGCAAGATCGAGTGATTATGCTGAAAAGAGTGAGTTTGAATTTGCAGGAGTTTATAGTTAATTGTGGCTTTATATGTCTGGTTGTTACATTTTTCATTCTTTCGTATTTTTTTGTCATTTTTCAGTTTTGTTAAGAGGATAAAGAGAGAGAGTTGAATGGGTTCCTGTAATTGGTGGTTGAGGTATCGTGTCAGATTATACAATTATTTGTTCACAGAAAAGTTTAAAGAACAGGAGGAGTTGAGTTTTTACATAGGTTGATGGAGAATGCCTACTAAAGTCTCTTCCAAATATTAGTATTTCCCTCAACTATAAGCAAATTTACTCAAATTGGATGAGAGTGGATGACAGCTTTGCTGTAATGTGCGGAAGTTTCATTTGTTTGATTGTGTATCCTCTTATAACATCCCAAGAATGCATTTTGATAGGTATATTTTTCACATTTATAGCTTCGTAGGATTTGACAGAAGTCTAATGTAATTCAAATTATATGCACTTAGGTTTTGACTAAAAAAACTGTTAGTTTGTATTCTCCCATGCTTACGCCTTGAAATAAGTTCAAACTGTTATAAATGAAAAATGAGCTTCATTTGATTTCTCATATCTTGTATGTATTTTCCTATTTGTGTCCTAACTATGCTTTGCATGATTGCATCAACAGCTGTCAGGTGATATACATGAGGAGGTTGAGACTCATAACCGAATGCTGGACCGAATGGTGTGTATATTATTGTAATATATCCCCCATACTGAATGTGTATTATTAGTCTTATGTTAATCATTTTCTCTCCTAACATTTTGCTCGTAGGGTAATGACATGGATAGTTCAAGAGGAGTTCTATCCGGAACCATGGATAAATTTAAGATGGTATTTATGACCTCTAATCCATTCTTCTACTCTCTCTTTTGCTTGGATATTTTACTTTTCTACAAACGACTTCGTACTTGCCTCAGGTGTTTGAAACCAAATCAAGCCGCAGGATGTTTACACTCGTGGCATCTTTTGTGGTTATTTTCCTTGTCGTATACTACCTTATAAGGTAAGTGATTGCATAAATTTGAGAATCAGTGAACTTGTGTAGAGGGTGCACTACCTGCTCTACTACTCGGTCAATGTCATTACATGGCTGTGAGATGTCATAGCCTTCATGTGCTTGTAAAGGTGTTTTGATGCAACATACACTTGGATGGACAGAAATTGTGACATTTTTAACAAATCTTTGACAAATATGATGCCAGTTGACAAGGCTTTACCGATTGTTCTTATTCTGCAGCAAGTAAAACAAAATGGAAGAAGGAAAAAGAGCTATCTGCAGCTAGTAATTTGGTGAAGCTTAAGAATGAACGGATTTGTTCCAAGCAGCAGTTTCTACTGAATCAGTGATTAGTGTTTTTGTGGTAATAGCTTTGAGCTTGGTAGTGTCATTGAAACTTTTCAGTGCTAAAGGTCCAGAACCTCTCTGATGCTTCATGCTAGTGTGTGTGTGCGCGCGCGCGTGTTTATAGATTCCGCATTGTCTTTTGGAACAGAGAAAAATCTATGTAATGGTACATATTAAATGCACAATCTAAAATGCTGGCACTAAACATGCACAATCTATTTTTCTTTTTCTATTAGATAAAAATTTCAAAATGGCGTGTTGGGTATAACTGTTAAGGAATCCTCCATCTTTCGGAGGTAAAGAGTATCAACTATAAGATTGTAATGTACCGATTGTTTAAGAAAATTGTACAAGAGTTATATCTATATAAGCAGCCTGTGATTTTGCCGAGCATGGCATATCATGATCATGTTGATAAAAGTTGTAATAAAAAAGTAAACAACAGATCGGAACGTATATTAGCAGGGGTTTTCTATTGCTATTTCGCACAGCAATCCTAATGAAAGTGAAGGACCCACGACAGTGACGGAACGGGCAGAATAATCAACCTGTTTTCCCAGGTAGAGTCTCACGAAATCTTCCCTCTGTCTTCAATTACATCTGAAAATGACTCGTAAATTTTATTACGATCGTTCCTCAGTAGTTGAAGAAAAAATTTAAAAATTGCACCAGATGGGAATCGAACCCGAGTGTGAACTCTGGCAGGGTACTATTCTACCACTAGACCAGCAATTCGTTTTTAATTATTTAATTATTCATCACCCTACCTTTTATTGTCTTTTTTAGTTTTACACCAACTTTAATAGAGTTCACTAGATCGGATGGTATAAAATAAGCAAATGTCATTTTGATTCTCATTCTTGGTATATGTTTAGTAGAATTGATTGAACAAAAAAATAAAAACAATTGTCTCACACTAACTTTGTACGCTTGTTTATGGTTTTACGTTATGAATTAAAGTATGGTATAAAATAAAGGTTAAATTCAAATTAATGTGATATTAAACTTTTTGAAGTCCTTTTCACTTTTAAACGAACCAATGAGATTTTATAATAATAAATGTCCTGATTTCAAGTATCATTATTACATATTTGAAAAAAAATTAGCCCTTGTTTTGTGGGAACCAAAATTAAATTTTAATATATGATTAAAAAGTTGTGGATCTCAACAAATACGTGATTAAAATTAATTGTTACATCCTTAAATCATTCCTCATTTGATTTACATGGCGAAAACCTAATAGACTTTACCTATCGAGTAACCAAAAGAGAAAAGAGAACAGAAAAAAGAAGTTAAAAGATGAGAATGAGAATGACAAGAATACACTCAAAAGGAAATAGCCGTTCCAATATTGGTTTAGGAAAATACCATTGCAACACACACTTGGAGGTGTGTGTGGTACTCGATTCATGACAAAAACTATTGGGAAATTGTATGAAGTCCACCAAGGAGAATGGAGATCAAAGCCACGAACC